CGGGGTGGCGTGGCTGCCGCCGCACCGCCGCGGGGGTGGATGCGGCGACCCCGCCTCGGCTCCGCCCACCCCGCCGCTGCCCGGCGCCGCCCCGCTCCCGCCGCCGCCGTCGCTCCCCGCAGCTGGTTCCCGTGCGGGCGGTGCGGCAACTGCTACCCGCCACCGCAAAGTCCCTTCCGGCGTCACTGAGCGCGGCTACGAGTTGCGGCAGGAGCCCCAGTTCGCCCTGCCCGTTCTGCGCCCACCGCTCCAAGCTGCACTGCAAAACCTGTTAGCGCCACATCCGAGATTGCCAACTCCGCCCGCGTGGAGCGTCGAGCGCGGGCGAAGGGGTCCCTCTACACGTTCCAAAGCCACTTCAACGCTTTGCCACGGGTGGCGGGTGGCACAAATCCCCGCCATAAATTCATTGTGAGCTTCCTTCGCGATTCGTGGTGGGGCCAATTTTCATTCTCTGTGTCCGCGGCTTCGCATGTTCCAGGTGATTGTTAATCGCCTGTGCGGTTAGTAGCGTCGCGCGGTGCGGCAACTGCTACCGCCACCGCAAGTCCCTCCGGCGCCACGAGCGCTACGAGTGCGGCAAGGAGCCCCAGTTCGCCTGCCCGTTCTGCGGCCACCGCTCCAAGCTGCACTGCAACCTGTTGGCGCACATCCGAGATTGCCACTCGCCCGCGTGAGCGCGAGCGCGGGCGAAGGGGTCCCTCTACACGTTCAAAGCACTTCACGCTTTGCCACGGGTGGCGGTGGCACAAATCCCCGCCAGTAAATTCATTGTGAGTTCCTTCGCGATTCGTGGTGGGCCAAATTTTCAATTCTCTGTGTCCCGGCTTCGCATGTTCCAGGTGATTTGTTAATCGCCTGTGCGGTTAGTAGCGTCGCGATCTCTTCCTAAGGCAGCAACGAAGGACCTGGGAAATTAGAGAGATGCAGTTAGTAAGGGCCTTTAGCATATGGTTAAACGGGATGCGTTTACTCCGGATTACAAAACTGCCACTTTCCCGAACGTGTATAGGCTCCTTCACTCACGTCCCGTCTCGCCAGGCAGGCGTGGCCACGTGCACGTCCTCTCGGTGCTATTGTTATGAGAAATAAAGTTTATATCTATGAATGAAATTGTGTTTTTGTTCTCCCTATTAGTTTATTAAGCACTTTCTGTGTAAGTTAGTATCAACCTGAATCAACGAGTTTTCCCTTCATCGTCGCGCGCATCTTGTTCTCTGATCTGTTTGAATTTAAAGATGGCAAGTGTTCTCCACGTGACAGGTGAGATGCGAGACGCAGGCGCGAAGGGCAGGGAAGTGTGATTTGAGGTATCGCTGGCTGCGACCTCGTCGTTCCGAAGAGGAGCTGGCCGCGGTCGACGGAGCGCAAGGGCAGGTGTTGCGCGCGGCGGGCCCCGGGCCGCTTGTGGGGGCGGGGCCCGCCCACGCTGCGACGCGATGCGAGGTGCCGCGACGCCCACTGACGCGCGCCGTGTTGCAGGCGCCGGCGCCGGCGGCGTCCTGGGCGGGTGGCGTCCGGCGTCGTGGGCGCTGTCGGGGCTGGCGGCGCTGGCGGCGGGCGCCGAGGCGAGCGCCGCGCGCCGCGCCAACGCTGCCGGCGCCACCGTCACCGCCACCGCCGCCGCGGACGCGCTGCCCTTCCTGGCGGAGCGCGGACTGAGCTGGCCGCCGCTGGTGCTGTGCCCGCACTGCCCGCGCCGCTGCTACCGCCAGGGCAACCTGCTGCGCCACATGCGCGCCCGCCACCCCGAGCTGTGCGTGGGCCTGGGCCGGCCGCCCGTGCCGCTCCCGCCGCCGCCCGCGCAGCTGCTGACTCCTCCGACTCCGCCGGCGGCCCCTCGCAGCCGCGGCTCGCCCTCCCCGCCCGCGCCTCCTCTCCCGTGAGCCTCCCGCTGAAGAAGGTGATGGACAGCGGACTGGTGTGGATGTGTGGATTGCTTCGTGTTAAATGTACTGGTGTAATAATCGTCACAAACTACTCATTTCATTTTATTGTTTTATACTAAATGTATGGCCTTTTGCAATATGTATAGATTTTATACTTATGAAATATTCTGTTCGGCTCCTCGAGTATATGCTTTTACACATTCTTCTTCATAAATGTGTTTTCAATCTGAGCTGTGGTGTTGAAACTTGTGAACCCTTTGAAACGTCCTCTACCTTCCGCGCTTCCGAATTTCGGAACATGCCAACCAGTGTCATTCAGTTAATATTTTATTTCACTCTTCCTTCCTTTCATTTCTTCTCACTGTTTTTCACTTTTATTTGTAGATTATTTTTTTCCTTTTCATTTGGGGATTAATTACGCGTCGTTTTATTTCGTTCGGCTTTCGCACTCGGGGTGCGGGCGCCGGCGTTGGGCTGTGGTAGCCGGTCAAGGCTGGAGACAACGCCGCCGCTCAATAACTCGTGGCGGCGAGCGCGTGGGACGGGGCGCCGCACGGGCACGGCATGGCTGCTTTCGAACGGCGACGGCCGGGTTGTACAGTGAGTTCATTGAATCGTCTGGGGATGTCGTCGGGATTTTGGATTTTTGGCGGTTTATTTTTTCCTATGATGCGTGTTTTTTTTATTTTCCTTCATACTAGCTTTTACGTAGTAACTCGTACACTACTGCTATACTACTGTGGCGATATATTGTTTTCACAAATTATGTATGTTTCGTTCCTTCACGTCTCGGATACAATTTGATGAACTTGGATTCGATTGGACGATGTGAAGTGGTATTCACAGCCATGGAAGTGGAATAACACGCTGTTTTGTGTACCTAAGGTATTACTTTTATCCGATTTTCGACATCTTCATGGTATTTTGGCGGATTGCCAGCTAAGAAAGCCAGCTGTCGATTGTGAACATTCCAAGGTGGTGGTTAGGAGTCAAATTTCATTGATTCCTCGCAACGGGCGGTGTCTTGGTTCGCACTAACATGAGCCCTGTTGCCCCCTAGGACTGTTCGGCGGCGGCGGCGGCGGCGGCCTCGGGGACAGCGGCGAGCGAGAGCCGTTCGCGTGCCAGTCGTGCGGGCGGCGGTACAAGTACGCGAAGAACCTGCGGCGCCACCAGCGCGACGAGTGCGGGCGCGCGCCGCGCTTCGGCTGCCCGCTGTGCCCGCACCGCACCAAGTTGCGCTTCAACCTCAACACGCACATGCTGCGCAAGCACGGCGCCCCGCTGCCTCCGCCGGCGCCGGCGCTCGCGGGGCCTCGGCCTGCTTGACCGCCCGTCCCTCAGCCCGTGCTTTCTCATCCGCCCAGCATTGCACTTCGTTGACGGTTGTCGTGTTTGAGGCCGAAGCAGCTCTCGGTTTTGGAAGGGAGCTGTGCTTGACTTTTTAACGCGTTCCACCTCATGCTGGAACAGTAAGCGCTTCTGGAATGAGGACGTTCGTGAAACTTTCGTGAAAAACAACGGTTTATTACGAAATAAGTGAATGTTTTTACTGTCAACGCTGCTTTGACGATTGGTTGGAAATTTGGAATATGCTACTTATTGCGTTCGCGATAAAGGATGTTCTCTCCCTCTTTTGTGGCAACTGTTGGAACAAACAAAAGGAAATGAGTTTTGCTTGCGATTTCTGCCAGCATCATCTCCATATTTAGAACAACCTTCTGAAGGCGAGCTCTTAAACGTTTATTGAAGTAGCTTGATAATTGTTGAATTAATATGTTTCTGACGTGAAGGATGTATGTGGTTTTCCCTCCTTTCCTAGATTGGAAGGAAATCGAACAAGATTTTCCCCAATGAATGTTTTGTTTGAAGCGTTGAGTCCCTTTGTGGTAGCAGCGCTATAGCGAGTGGAGAGGTACGTCGCAGCGAGTCACCTCTGCGCGTTTGTCGGAGAGGCGTGCGCGGAGCGGACTCTAACGGGCGGTCTCTGTTGCAGCGTGGGCGGCGGCGGCGGACGCGTTAGGCGCTTTCCACGGGATGCTGCCCGTGGGTCCGGCGGCGCTGGCAGGCAGCGGCGGCGCGCCCCGGCGCGCCCCCGGTCGTTCGGCGTCGGCGCGTCGGGCGGCGGGCCGCCGGGGCCGCGCCTTCGCCTTGCGAGCGCTGCGGTTCGCGTACCGCTGGCGCAACACCTTCCGCCGCCATCTGCCGCCACGGAGTGCGGCAAGAGCCGGCCTTCAGTGCCCGCACTGCCGCACGGTCCAAGCTCAAGAGCAACATTTGCGCCAGCACGTGGCCAAGGCGCCACGGCATTGGCGTCGCTTTCGGCGCCTTCATCTGAGGCGCGCCAGAGGTCAGCTCCCCGCGCCGCGGGCCACCGCCCCTCCCCTCGCCCTCCCTACAGCTCCCGCCCACCCCGATAACTAAAGTTATGCCAATCAATTATACGTTTCAACAATTCGAACTATCAATGCTCGTATAAGTATTTCCACCCCAGAAAATCCCTTTCAGTAGAGTGTGAACCCGGTGTTGCTGTGTTAAAAACTATTTAAAGCAGCGCAAACGCAGAGAGCTGA